CAAGCAGAGTTTCCGGTCTGATTTACTTTACCGCATACGGGCAGTACCTCACTAATTCAGCTAGGGTGTGTAAAGGGCTAAGTTATCACCAAAACCCCTTTGGGCGGTTGAGGTGGACACCTTCGGAGCAGAGTAATTTAGAGGCCAGAACTGCATTTACCAATCGTTATTATAAAAACTGCATGCATCTGTACCAATTTCGACGCCCTTTAAACCTTGTGAAATATAGACATTTTTTGGAATGGCAAAGCGCAACACTAAACAGCCGATGTGGTAGATGCTTGCAGTTAGTAGGCGTAAAAGTTGTTTACATCACAAAATCGTTACTTACTTCGGAAAATATAACAATGTACATAAAATGTGGGCATCTTTGTCACATAAGTTTATGCTTCATTTGTAGTCAATAAAATGATAAACTTTATCTTCTACTATTAAATAAATAATAACCATCGACGGGCCTTCATTCAGCATTTCTTTATACCAACTTGGCTGCATTTAGAACTCACTTAAAAGCTGTGCTTGTGGAGTTCGATTGAGCGGAGTAAAGAGCCAGTCTATCGCTCGATGCCAGATAGACCATGGAAGAAGTCTACGGAACGAATCCATAGCTGCATAGTTAAAGTGTGCTTTACCTTAAAAGCAGTGTAGACTTGTCGCTGAAGCATGAGAAGAATAAACTAAAGCCGACCAAATCTTTAAAGACTCATAACTAGAAAAAAATATGGGGTCCGTTTCATTACACTTTTCAGCAAATTGCAAAACTATTGCCAGGCGATGGAAATTGGCAAATGTGCTTGGTATAAATAAAGTGCAGATTTAACTATCAAGTTGTTAAAAATCTAAGACATTAAAGTTGTTAAACTTATCCTTTTCTCACTGGTCAGAAGTCAATGCATGAAGCAATTTGGATTAATCTCAAATAAGCGTTTCTGCAGTGTATGTTGTACAACTTTCATGAAACAACTGAATCCACAAACTAGGTACTAAGTGTAAATAATGTGTTCTTAATTACAGTCTGCATGAATTGTGGTTAAGTATTTGCACAAAATGCTATTACAATTTGCCTCTTTATTCTCCTTCATTTTTAAATTTTGGGCTGAGGTCTGGGCAAAAATACGCAATTTAAATAAATTACCTCACTTTATTTAAACGGCTCCTACAATGAGTTTTACGAAGCAGGTGTTGTTGGTTTAGATACACAGTACTCAATTTGAACGGACATCTTTACATCGGTGGTCTTCCAGAAGAAATGCGAGACGAGACACCGCCCCAAGCGTGGTCGGCTCGACTTCGTGAGGATTTTGTGGGGTGCCTGAGTGCACTCTCGATCGACGGAGAGAGTCTAGACCTCGCATTGGAGGCAACTGCACATTGGGCTAAGGGCTACGTTCGGCTGGGCGAAATCGACTTAAAGGGACTCGGCGACATGTGCACGGCACAAGAAAATCCCTGCAGTCCTGGCACATGCATGCAGGGTTCGTGGTCTGAACCACTGTGTGATTGCACCCAAACAAACTTCGTAGGAAGTCGGTGTAAAGAGGGTATGAAAATCGTTTTTATTTTTTATCACGGAATACGTTTATGCACGATGGGGAAACAAGGAAACACTACCATTAAAAGGGCAAAATTTAATACCAGTGTATTTGTAATTTCTTAATTGCCATACCAGCAAGCAGATTCGCACTTCATCTATACTGACAATGGACCACTATCAGTAATTGTATTTGCTGGCCTCGGCTTAGCAGTCGTCTTCTTGGAGGCCTCAGGAGACGCGTTTTCAGAGGGGACTCATTAGACATTATGAGGAGGGGAGAGGGTGGACAAAGGTGGAAGTACAGCTATTAAAGTCCTAACGGATCTTCTACAGGCCTTTAGCGACCCGCCTCTCATTCATGAGGATAGTGTAAACACATAATACGCATTGCAGCAATCTTCTTAATTAAATTGCTATGATAATACAACTCGTTATAAAACTTAATTTGTGTTTTTATTTTAATAATAAAGGCTATTAAACCAAGAGGCGCTAAAAGTTGTTGAAAAATTGCGAAGAAGCATGCGATTAGGCTCTTTAATCTGAAGTATGCAGCAGCCCTTTTGAATAATGAAGGTCTTGTCAT